CAAGGCACATTCTGGAGCTGGCAGGAGGGATGATGCAATGGAAGGAGGGGGCACGATGGCAGGGTACATCCCTGCTACCCTAGGATGCCCAAAACCACATCAAGCCATCCCTGTTCCCATCCCAGTGCCTGTCCCCATCCCTGCAGTGCCAGGACCCTGTGCAGTGTTGCCTTTACATACCTCTTCCTCTTCCTCACCTGTGCCCTACCTGGCGGGGGTGCAATCAGCTGAGGCTGTCTGGCCCCTCCCTGGGCTGGGCATGGCTATAAAATCTGGAGGCTGGGCAGAAGGGGTCACAGAGATCTGGGGGCTGTTGACAGGTGAGTTCAGGGGTGCCCGGGTTGGGCTCAGGGGTTGGGCTCAGGGGGTTTTGCCTGTCAGATGTTGTTGCCATCCCTGGGCTATGGGTGGGATTCTGCCTGGTTCTTGTGAGGCTTGGGGCTCGGTCTGGATTTGGCCAGGTGATACTTTTTGTGGCATGAGATGCAATGGGGCAGGACTGGGGAGCACAGTCTTGCCTTGGGCACAACATGAGCTGCCCTGGAGGGCAAAGGGGGCTGATGGTGGGAACAGGGCCTGTTCCCATGGGACATCCTGCTGCTGTTTTTGGATGATGCTGGGATGGCCCCACTGGGCAAGTGAATATGGGGAGCAGAGAGTGCTGATGGGGGGCTCAGGCGTTGTTTCCATGGGTTATCCCTCTCCCCTGTCTGGGTGATGCCAGGATAATCCCACTGGACAAGTGAACATGGAGAGCAGAGAGTGCTGATGGGGGCACAGGGGCTGTTCCCATGGGTTATCCCTCTCCCCTGTCTGGATGATGCTGGGATGGCCTTGCCAGGCAGGTGGACATAGTGAGTGGGATCTGCCACCAGCCGAGTGATGCTCAGGTGCCTGTGCCTGGCACAACATGATGCTGGGATGGCCCTGCCAGGCAGGTGGACATAGTGAGTGGGATCTGCCACCAGCCGAGTGATGCTCAGGTGCCTGTGCCTGGCACAACGTCACCTGTGTCCCAGCACTGGGAAGTGATGGAGGTGGTGACCCTGGTGACATAGCTCTGAGTCACACTGAAGGCTCCAGGTGACAGCCTGTCTCCAGCACATGGGCTGGGAGGGATGCTCAAGGAGAGGCACCCCAATCCCTGAACTGGCTTGTCCCTGTCCCCAGGCAGCAGCAGCAATGGCAACACTCTACCCCTCCCTGGAGGACATGAAGGGCCACCAGGTCCTGCAGGTCAGTGCCAGCACAGCAGTGTTACGTGGAGTGAGTAGACCCCATTGGGTCCCTGTTGGGTCCCATTTTGGAGGGTCCCCAGGATGAGGGGCACAGCATTGAGCAGACCCTGTCTCTTGGCAGGCGCAGGCAGCGGCTGGGCGGGGGGGGGGGTGGGGCCCCCTGCCACCACGGTGGCCACGGAGAAGCCAAAGCTCACCTCAGGCACAGGTAATGTGGGGTGTGATCAGCTCACCTGTCCAGGGGCTGTCTGGGGAGGAGCAATGCTCATTGTGTGGAGGGCAGAGCTGAGACCCTTCCCACAGCTCAGTGTGTGGGTAGGGGATGGGATTTTGGTTTTTTTTTCTGCTGGGCCGTGGTCCCAGGGGGCTCCCTGGGGTGGAGGAGGCAGTGGATGTGGGTTGGGGACCCCAGGAGCTGAGAGGGGAGCTGACACACTCTCTGTATGTCCCACAGCACCACCTGTGCTGTACCCTAACCTGGCCGAGCTGGAGAACTACATGGGGCTTGCTCTCTCCAGTGAGGAGATCCAGAAGAACCTGCAACCAGAGGACAGCACTGTAGGTGTCTGGGCTGGTGGCTCTCCCTACCCCATTTGGAGTCCCCATGCCATGATGGGGGTCCCCATGCCATGGTCCCTCTGGGTCCACATCCCGCCCAGGGAAGGGATGCAGCACCCCCGAAGGGCTGAGGTGCACTGTGTCCTGCTGTCTCCACTGACCCCTGGCTCCACCACAGGCACTGACCCCTGTTGGGCCAACCCCAGGCCAGCTGGTCGCCCCCCTGAGCGGGAACAGCGTGGGGCTGCGGCGGGCAGAGATCAAGCCAGGCGTGCGGGAGATCCACCTGTGCAAGGACGAGCGGGGCAAGACAGGGCTGCAGCTGAAGAACGTTGACCAGGTGAGGGGCTGAGGGGCTGTGTGGCATGGCATGGTGCACTCATGGCATAAACATGACAGCAGAGTGCAGTGTGACATAGCACAGTGTCACATGGTAATGTGCTATGGCATGCCATGACATTTTACGCCACACATGGCAATATGTGGCATAAAATGTCACGGCATGCCATGGCACAGCAGGGTGCAGATGGCATGGTGTACCATGGCACACCACGGTACAGGACAAAGCATGGCCACCACTCCCTGTGCCAGCTCTGTGCCACCACTCCTCTGTGTCTCCAGGGCATCTTTGTGCAGTTGGTGAAGGCCAACTCTCCAGCAGCACTGGTGGGGCTGCGCTTTGGGGACCAGGTGCTGCAGATCGATGGCAGGAACTGTGCAGGCTGGAGCAGTGACAAGGCACAGCGGGCGCTGAAGAAGGCAAACCCTGAAAAAATTGTCATGGTGGTGCGGGACAGGTGAGCGTGTAGTGGTGCTGGTGGCAGTGTCCGTGGCAGTGCCAGTGGCAGTGCTGGCAGCACCACTGACTATGCTCTCCCTGCAGGCCTTTCCAGCGCACTGTCACTTTGCACAAGGACAGCACTGGCCACATTGGCATTGTGGTGAAGAAGGGGAAGATCGTGTCATTGGCCAAGGACAGCTCTGCTGCCCGCAATGGGCTCCTCACCCACCACTGCATCTGTGAGGTGAACGGCCAGAACGTCATCGGCATGAAGGTAGGGCTGTGCCCCACCAGAGGCACAGGATGTGCCTGGGCAGTCCAGGATGTGGCATGGGAAGCTGGGGGCCTTGCTGAGCAATGCTGGGCACCCCACAAATCTCCCTGCTCTCTCCTACAGGATAAGCAGCTCACAGAGGTGCTGGCAGGGGCTGGGAATGTGGTGACACTGACCATCATCCCCACAGTGATCTATGAGCACATGATCAAACGGTGAGAACATGAGGCTGCAGGGCCCCCCCACATCCCACGGGGCCCCCTGGGTTTCCCCCACTGACCTTCTCCCTCTCTGACCTCCCCTCTCTCTGCCCAGGCTCTCATCAGGACTAGTGAAGTCATCCATGGACCACTCCATCCCTGACCTGTGATGCCATTGCTGCCACCCCAGGGAGCTGACATGGGAAGCCTGGAAGGGCTGCTGATGGGACCCCACAGCACCTCAAAAGAACCTGTTTTAGCACAAAAGTCCCTCATCCCTCCAGAGGCTGGTGACTGCTGGGTGGTTTTTCGTCTCCTCAGCAGGGATGGGGCAGGTGTCCTGTCCCAGGGTCCTCATGTCCCCATGTCCCTACTCGGGCCAGCCCCCCTCCAGGTGGACGCCAAGGGCTGGCTCCAGCCAAAGCAGACACAGACCCAGCGACGTTTATTACATCCACCACAGAGAGCGAGTACAGGACAGGGGAAACAAAAAAAGGGGGGTTACAGCTTTTTCAGAAAGTTCTGTATTTAAAAAATATATTATATAGATTTGTCTTTCAAATATAATTGTTACATTTATTTCTTGGCAAAGCTTTGGATAGTCTAACAGACGTGTACACAGATCCACAAATACATTGCACGAGAGGCGAATACCCCAGCTCCGCTTACATCTGCCCCGGCTGCCTGGACACTGCTGCTCCCCAAATCTTTCCCCTGGCACCCAGTGCTGTGCTGGTGGCAGAGCTGCTGCCCCCACTGTCCCCCAGCACAGGCAGAGCCGGCGGACGGGGATGCAGGGAAGCGTGGGGCACACGGGATGTGGCACGTGCCCCTACAGGACTGCTGGATGCCAGCACATGGAGCATCACTGGCTCCCAGGGCATCCAGTCGGTGGCACCCATGGGTGGGGGGGTGGGTGGGGGTTGGGGTGAGGGGAAACACTGTTAGTTCAAGTCACAAAGAAACCACAGACATTCGTGGGGTGGGAGCGCGGCGCACATGGGAGAGCCCCAAGTCCTGCGCCCCAACAGCCCCGCAGAGCAATCCTTGCTGTCTTTGCGTCTCAACAACAAAAAAAAAAGGCATTTTTA